TCTTGCAATTTGATCCACATCAAATGGTTGGCCACTTGGTGTATGACTCTGTTGCCATGGACCTGTGGATCATGGAGGTTGGTAAGAACTCATTTGCTACTTTTGCTGCCTCAAGGCTGTTGACAAGTAGAGGGCTTCCCTGCAACTAAATTCCTGCCTTTCTATGGAGAAACAAGAAGGTTTTTAATTTCAATTTTATTTATTTATTTACTGAAACTTAACAAAAAAATAAAGAAAAATTAGATATATGTATTTGTATAAAAATAAAAGGAGCCCATTGTTTTAAAAGGACAAAGGATAACCATGTCTTGTTGGCTTGACATGCTTTCATTTGAGGGTGGAGGGTGAGCGGGGATGGGACCCAACAAGAATGGCTCAAAAAGGTGGAACTTAATTTGTATAGAAGTGTGTTAGATCTCATACAGTTTGTATGCTTTTCTCTGTAGGGTTGACTCACTGGCATGAAGTTTGTTTATGGAATGCCAATTTTTCATTCACACTACTGGGTTCAAAAGGGGGCTGAGTCAATGCAAAACTTGGTAAAGATTGATTCCTCAACTGAAGATGGATGCTAGGGTGCAGCCAATTGCTAGAATCATCAGCTATTCTTGTTGGGTCCAACACGCAAACCTGCAATAGTTTTCTTTTTGGTACAAAAGTATGTCATGTTGAAATTTACCATGTGAAGTATTCTTGTAATTGTGTCCATTAATAATTATAATAATAATAGAAAGTGTACATTGTGATATGTTTTAATTGCATCCACAGTAGCCAGAAATGGTGAAACTTGAGAAGTAATGTCTTCCATGCTTTAGTGTACCCAAAAAAAAATCATTTTTTGAACTCTCTCTCTCTCTCTCTCTATATATATATATATATATATTACCACATACATATTTTTAAACTGATCTAATTGGCAAAAAATCACTACAATGCTTCTGTGAGCTTAATTGTAGCACTTGAATTATCCAATTCTTTTTCTTTTCTTTAGAAACAATTGGGATATTCCCCTAGCATTAAATGTGTGAGAGTCACATGAACTACCCTTCAAGAAGGTGATAAAGAAAAAGGGCAAGATAATGACCATTTATTGCCAAGGCTAAAGATGTACTCTCTTATCAATTCAGTGTTGGTTAATTTTTGCAAACAAAAACCTTAATTCGTTTGCAAATAATCAAAATCAAAATTCAATTGCATACGTGTTATTAGAATATTGTTGGATGGACATCCACACATATTCTACTTTCAAGATTCATTCATCACATCTAGGGTTCCCGCCCTTACGTGTTTGAATCCATGTTTTCAGAGTCATAAGTTAGTTCAAAGTAGATCCAGTTAAAGAGTGACTGTGTGATGGAGAAATAACATGAGTATGTTAAGCTCCCTATGTTACTAGGGAATTGTCTATAAGGAATAAAGATAAGCTTCATATATATATATATATATATATATCTGTGTATAGTTGCTGAGGGAGACTAAGAAATCCAACAGGTCGGGGCCCACTCTGGCAAGTGTATTGTGCTATATATTGTTTCTTTCACTTCTGTCTACATGTCTCTGTGATATTCTGCGAGCTATCTACATTGATATTTTCGTTAAAACGAGGAGTAACCAGAAACTACTATTTCTCTGATTTCAATCACTTAAACTTTTTACAGCATCAGCTCAGCACTTTGCTAGGTTCTTTTTTCTCTTCCTCCTCCGGATGCATTTTTCAACCGTATCACGGTCGAAGATTAAACAAATCATGAACTAAAATCTTCAGATTCCGCTTTAGTTACTCATACCGTGTCAAACATGTCCACTACTCAACTCTGGCATGAGCGAATGGGACACGTCCCTATCCCAACCATTAACAAAATGTTCACAAGGCACTGTTTATCTGATTTCGAATTATTACAACCAGAATCTCCTCTCCATCCATGTCAAGGGTGCATGATGGGAAAATAGCATAAATCTAGTTACCCACATCATCCGAACAAACAACGTTCCACAACACCCGGTCAACTTATACATGGATATATTTCGGGAAGACTGCATCAGACACCTTACCTTAACGGATCACATTATTACATTTTATACAAGGACGATGCAACTACTTACCGATTTGTTCATTTCGCGAAACAGAAATCTGAAGCCTTACCGTTTCTTAAACGTGTCGTCAAAAATCAATTGCATATGTGTTATTAGAATATCCATAGCTTCGTGAAGTTGATGTGATTCGCATTTAGAACCCACTTGATGTTTTTTTCTTTGTTTCTTGTGTTTGTGCTTTTCTCAGGCATCCGAAAAGAACCATTTACTTTAAAGTTTGAGTTGTCTAGCTCAAGCATAACACCCCGCTTTGTTCCCAGAAAACGGCAAAAAGGAAAAATATAGAGCATGATACCAAGTCTCAGCCTGATAACTTGAATGTTCTGATCGTATTTTTATGGTGCATATTCTGCTACTTGATACGCAACACTTGAGGATAGTCAGTCGAGAAGTGCTGGAGGCGTAACACTGTTTGAACCTTTGATTGGCTTCGAATAACACATCGTCAAGGTTGTTTTAGGCATGATAGCCAGCGAGACAAAGGAAGCAGTTGATACTCCGAATTTGTTATGATAACAAATTAGCATTTGAGTGAGAGAAACACAAAACCCTCGTTGGTACGACGTTTTTAGCGTGGGACCATAGCAGCCTCAAGCCCAGTTACGCCATGTAATAATACTCCGTTCAAGTTGTGCGGAATAAACCAGGAGGAGTTACTGCGAAATGATAGAGGTGGGTAAGAATCACTGTGGTCTAACCTGAATCTCAGAAACTACTGCTGACGATCCAGCGTAAGAAAACCTGCGTATGTTACAACTTCTAACTATCTCAGTGCATTCTAAGCATGCTAATGTATACAACTTTCTTATATCTTCCTCTTCACTTGGACTTACTATCACAGCTCCTGGAACGGTCTTTGCTGACACGCACACCTGACAGTACATAAGTATCATGATAGATGAGCACTAGACCGATTTGTGCAAATGTCCATGCATTTATGCTGTTGGATGCGCCTCTTGCAATTATTGACGCAATGTTTCAATGTATAAAAGCTATATGCACTAAACCTGGTGGCGATGTGATTGAGATCACTGCAATATTGAGGTCCTTTGAAACCCGTGCTCAGGAACTTTTTAAACTGATTTGTTTCATTCTCTCTGCTTGTCTTATTTCAGCAAGAGCATTCGTTCAGCAAAACAGTGCTCAACTCGCGTTCTAAGAAAAAGCCTGGAATCAGAGTCGATTTCATGCAATGACGGAGCGAAAAGTTCTGATTCATCGTACGTTTACGACTTTCCTTGATGGAGGGAAAAGAGCTTGTGTTCGCTGATGATCACTGTGCTAGATAGTGATCAAACTGGCACTTTCTTCCGCATCAATCATCTGTCTATGTATTAAACGGAGCGTGTAAATTAAAGTTTAACCGGCTTTTAAAGGGTTGTGCTAGCAGAGCCGCAAATCCCTCATTCTTCCCGACACCGTCGGGGTTTAGCGTAAAGAAGGGAGGAACACATCTTAATTCCGAATTTCAATTTCGTGCCCACGCTGACCCCGCTCTTGAGAATCACACTTTGAAGGAGTCGGCAATGAACTGTACTCCCAAGTCCTTCTAAAGATTGTCTCATCTTTGACAGTAACACTGTGGCTAGACAACAGCTACCTTCCCCCCTCGAATCTTCTGTAAATTCTTCATGCCCTCAAAGTCGGTCGACTCGTGAAATCTGAGCGTCTGAGGAGCTGCTTTTAGCGCGCTCTTCGTTCGTAGCCCGACGTACTTGGTCTGCCAGATGTATAACACACTCCTGTTCGGGAACACCCTACATGATGCGTTTGCTGGTCTTTCTCAAACTGTGCCGTTTGCCCTGTAGGCAGTGGTTTAAGTTTTCGTGCGTTCTCCTAGTTGGTCAAGAGGATTCGATAAGAATACGATGATCGAAGCAACAAGCAGTCTCCAAGTAATAATTTGGATTAAGAATCCAGATACCATGGCATCCACAAAGCCCCATCTTGATAACGGAGAATTGAGTTTCCCGCACATTCAAACCCCAAAGCTGAACTGAGAAACCAGGCATTCCGACGAGTTGGGACCGAATTCTGCGGACGTTGCAACCACGTCAGTCCAGTTCACACCTTCTATAACAAGACAACCGACCGTAGTAACTTTCGAAACTGGTTTCACTCTGTTGAAATTCGTGATCTTCTTCGGAACTATCCTATCTCCGTGACGGATGGTGCGCAGTTGCAAAACAAAAATAGGGGGGGTTTGACGAGAGAGGGAAGCCGGGCCCTACCTTGGCAAGGTGGCGCAAGAATAGGGCGGGAGGGTGCTGGGAAGGACTCCACGTTTCCGTCTCCGACACTCCATGCCTACAAGAGCGCAAGCATGGTTCCATCTTGCTCTTTTACATGCTCGCTCAGCACTCACGCCTGGACACCCTTTCGTCGTTGCCCGACCAGTCCAAAACCTCGAGTTTATTCCGCCTGTCCAATCTCCGGAAGCACGTCATTAACTTGGGAGCCTCTTCAAAACGTTAGTTAGGTTGGGTCGCGGTTTGGCTTGGTGTAGCCATCCGCGCGTCATCCTCGATAGCAGCGTTTTTCTTCTTTACAATTCGATCCCGAACTTCCCTCGTGAGTGCCATACGATCCCTCTGTTTGGTAGTGCGTCTTAGGTTGCGGTAATCGTCTTCCTTGTGCTCGTGCCCCGGGGCTCACTATATCCGAGGTCGTTATATACAGTCACACCTTATTATCCTTTCTCTTCATGCATGTTCATGAAAACTTCGTTTGAGGCGGAGTGTGCAGCAGATTAGTACTACCTGGATAGTGTTAAATTCATCATCGACGATTACTAGTTACAGGTGTTGGCATTCAGAACCGTGCGAGCCTCGTGCCTCATGTGGGAGTAAGAATACTATGACAATCGGTGTATTGGAAACCCCAGATTAGTCTTGTCCGCGCTGCCGATGCTTGTGCAAGACTCTCATGCGAACGTGAGCCGAGAACTCATGCTGGATCAAGTCAAGCATGAGGTGTTTGCTTATCGTTACATTTCGCCAAACCTGCCCTTGCTGAGCTCTTGCTTTTCGAGTATCCCCAGTGAGTCGTGGCTCTAATACTTCTGAATACAAAGTTACCCTCTTCAGATGTTGAGGGACGGTGGAAATTTTAACCTGGGAACATAGCAGGTTTTGGAGAATAGAGACACATTCTCATTTACCGCAGAGCTCATTAAGAACTAAGTTGAGCAGGCGAGGCCACGGCTGGCCTGCGGGGCCTTTGTAAAATAGCAGGCTGGCGAGTCCAAGTGGTATCCCGCTTCGGCAACTCGCGGTAGGCGAAGGCGAAGGTGAAGGCTGGGACTTGAGGTCTGGCGATCTGGCTGAAAAAGGTAAACGGCCGGCCTCACAGCAGAGCGACGAAGCTCTCCGTGACAGACAGGAGCTAGAGACTTGGAACCGAGAGGCCAGTCGAGAGCACCTAGTGAGTTGGACCGGAAGTATAACCCCCCGAGACAAAGATCTGGACCAAGGTTGGAAAGACAAGGACCAACTGGAAAATTGGGGACAGCACTCAGGAGAGAGGAATCCGGGGGTATCGGAGGGTCTAAGCGCGCACAATCTAGATAGTGGTAGAGAACAAGGTGTGACTGATTCTGCAGCGCCTGGAAGCACCGAGAGAGAATGCGCGGGGGGGTTGGATAACGCGGCGAGGAGTGCATCTGCAGCGGCGAGGGCGAGGACCTTAGGGGCTCAGGATTATTCAGGTCGCAGAAACACGAGTGGATACAACTCCTCAATGAGCAGTGGTGCACCATGTGGCGCCTGCAAATTCCTGCGCCGGAAGTGCGTGAGGGGTTGCATTTTCGCGCCATATTTTAGTGCGGAGCAAGGAGCAGCGAAGTTCGCTGCGGTGCACAAGGTGTTTGGGGCCAGTAATGTAGCTAAGTTGCTGCTGCACATTCCTGCCCCCCGACGTGGCGATGCGGTGCTTACCATCAGCTACGAAGCGCAGGCAAGACTGTCTGATCCCGTGTATGGGTGTGTTGCTACGATTTTCGCTCTCCAACAACAGGTGCGCTAGCTTAACATCTCCCAATTTTCACTTGTCCCTGCTTCCTAATCAGACGTCGCTTCCTACTTGGAAGATCAAACCCTTTCAACTCCGCAATCGTAGGCACGGAGAGAACTCGCTATCGCAAGGCACTTGGGGTCCAAGTTTTCCTCCAACCGTGGTATGAAGTAGATTCCAAATTCTTCTCAACACCAAGGAAAATTCGTTCCCCATAATTCTAGACGCTGCTTTACCCAGTGCCGATTATCTGTTGCTCATCGCAGATCGAGTAGTCGCTTAATACCAATTGTAGTTCTATGACTTGCAGCAACGCCCGAGTTCGTGAGTTTGGAGGTAGTATAGTAGTACACTGCGTCCAAGACAACAAACTCATTCTATACATATCAAGTTTTAGGAGGTTCGTGGGTCAGAAGAATTTGGCACCTTGTTTACTCACTAGTAGAGAACCTCCTGAATTTTTTTTAGATGGAAACTGGAAGGGTTGAAACGATTGTTAATATTATACCTCAGAACCATTCGTATAGCATTCACTAATCTACAGTTAGTTTTGGTTTGGTTCATTTCAGCTCCCTCTTAGTCTTAACTCGTAGAACAGTACCGTCTTATGCGTCAAGCGATATTCAGAAACTAGGATCGCGCGTCAGTTCTCTATTCTCAAATGTGAATTCAAGTGAAACGGAGAATCCTCCGTGCCATTGAATACACCAAATTCATGACTCAATCTGGTTGGAAGGATCAATGCTGACGACTATGCTTCCTTATCAATGAATAGGCTTTCCACGTTACCGATTCCCTTTGCTCGCCTAATCGTCATGACATCGTTATCTGTCGTTCAATGAGTGCAGTGCACTGCAGTTGGATTCAGATATTTGGGTAACTCGCTGAACCATCTCCGTGACAAATGCATCGGCAACAATTCGCTGATCGTATGAATAATCAGCTCTGATAACAACCAACAGAAAACGATACTTCGGGCGCATTCGACCTTTTTTTTCTGAAGTGAAAAAAAGGTTGAACTTAGCATCATTAGTGCGAAACGAGTACGCCGTTTTACTGTTCCGAATTCATATCTTTTTATCACCACGTCTAGATTTGGCAGTCTATCATTTGAGATTGGAGGGCGAAGTTCCCTTTCTATTCAGATGGCTATTTTCGCAGCATGTGTGCTTTCAGTTAGGGATTGTTAGGTGCATGATCATTGAACTCATTCATAAAATGCAAGGCTCAAAGCAGTTCAGAACCTCCAGGATTTCGGAACTTACTGAATAGCATTCAGATGAATTCCATGATATATTAATCGTTCTGATTTCCTAAATTACAGACAAGATTTACAGTAGGATTCTCCCCCGATGGACTATGAATTTCTGGCAAAGATTACACACTAGTCTAAAACTAGCAGTTTAGCCCCCTTGTAAATCGCAGAGATTTTACTGAATTTAATTCAACTCAGACTGGACGCGCGAGAGCCTCAATCTGATAGCTTGTAACCGATAAATCATGAGTGAAGGAGTTTTTTTCTTATGGTCGATGCGACAGGGCTTGAAGAGAAGCCTCTAGCGCTAAATGAGTTGTTCACCATATTCCCTAATTGACATGCGGTGTTTAGGACGTAGAAGCTTTATTTGTATGTTGAATCGTTGAGTCTAAGAAGTTCCGGTGAAGCGGTCAAGTCCGATTGTGAAAGTCATGAGTTGTAGGATACGCGGTTGGTTTAACTGGCTGAGTGTATTAATGCTTGAAAAGGTGGCTGTGAGGTTCGTCTGAAGTCTACCAGTTGACAGTTGGTTTAGCGCAGCTAGCTAAACTGTTGTCCCTATCTTGTAGAAAAGAAATCATAGCTGTACCTTCCATATTCGCAATCTTGCAAATTCCAGATTTTACGTCTTTCGGAAGTATCCTGAAAAGGGGTACCGTAGCTTTGTGATACTACATTTTAATGAGAAGATATGATTGGGTTTGCTCTCTTGAATGCCCAGGTTCGATTCTAATCGGGTAAGGCTACACGTACTTGATACAGGAATTTCTACCGTATACCTGAAATACTAGGTGACGGTGAGAACCTACTGTCGTTGAATAGCTAGATTTTATGCATCCAGTAGACTCATTCTAATTCGAGACACAAGCGTTACGTTTCTTGGGAATACGCCGTGATTCAGTTCGATTAGCGTGTATAGTGTCCTAAACATCTGCAGCTTAGTTAGTAACGAAGGATAAAGTCTTGGGATGCATAAGTGGTGAGATTTCTGCTAAACAGCGTACGTTGGACGAGGTTGATACAGACAGCCCATTGTAGCAATGGACTTAGAACGTCCAGGTTTACTCCACGTAGTATTTTACAGCTGTACCAGCGTGGCACCAAATGCCGCTGAATCAGTACTGAAAGTGACCCCGAATATCAAGTTTCTCATGGCAGTCTGCTATAGCCGCCATTGAGACTTCTTCTAAAATCAGTGTGTCCTCATCCACTGGTCCAATCTAAACATCCATGAAATCTAGCTGCTCCCATCAGAGTGATCAGCATAGAACAACATAGCTCCTATGTGCATAGTGCCTCGAATGACCTGCTTAGTCAACATAGTTACTGTCCATTTTGGGTAGTTAGCTACAATAACTAAGCTGATTCTAATTATGATTTGTTTCACTAAAGAACATATTGTGTAACACTGATGGAAGTAACCTCCGTTTTCGCTAGTGTGGTAAACAACCCTGACACTGAGGTCGATTTCCTTTCTGTACAGGTTGCAAGTTTGCAAGCAGAGCTGGCCATGGTGCAAACCCAATTAGCAGACCGCAACACACACCTTCAGCAGCAGCATCACCAGCAGCAGCGAATGACCATGGCGTTCGGTGCTTCAGCGTCGCAGGCGGCCGAGTATATCCAACATCAACATCTAGCAGATCACTCTCAGCTATCCCCTACGTCGGGATTGTCGATGGGCATGCCCGGAGGCTCCAGCGCCGGCCCATATTCCCGAGTGAAGGAAGAGGGTAGTTATCTTCACGGCATGCAGGCTCATCACTATGACATCGGAATGCCGACGACAAGCATGGAGCCCGCCAGTATGTCCACCGAGCAGAGCCTACTGGAGTCCTTGCAAAGATCTAGGAGTGGGGGGATGGGGGATCAACCGGATGAGGGAGAGCTGCAAGCTCTTGCTTCTCTCTTCCGCAGGAAATAGGGACAGGTTTCCATCTTCTCTACCGTACACCTCCATTGTGATGTTCAGGGAATTGGAATATGGTTAATTTATTTAGAGGTGTATTCTGAGGACTCGTGCTTTGAGCTCAACAGTGGAAGATTCTGTTTGGGACTCTGCAGGCGAAAGGATTCGCCAGGGATCGATTGGAGTGAACTTGACTATGAGGTGTTTCGCCACGAATCTTAGCCTGGGCATTTCTTTTGAGAGTGGACATCATGTTACAGGGAAGGCTATGAGCTTGGCATGTGAAATGACCTTCACGTTGGCTGGACAGCAGAGATTGGTAGTACCACTTGTGGCACGAATCAAAAATGTCGACTCGATTCAATAGTGAGATTACTGATCTCACCCTCTGGTTTCTGGCTGTGATGCTTTTATGAAAGATCATAGTCGTGGCAGGATGGCTCTTACAGGTTTTGTTCCTCGCTGAGGAAGCTGGACACCAAATGATCAGCAACGGCAGAGTTGAGCTGTGTGGAGTAACTGTGAAATCTTATTGAGCTGTGTGGAGAATCTGTGAAATCATTGTAGGAAACTTAATCACTTGAAATAGCCTTAATGCGCAAAGGAAGGGAAATTATTAAAAATTAATAATAAAAAATTAAAAAATTAACAGCGCTGGAGAACGATTGATCCGGCTCTAGTCTAGATATCGCCTTGTTCTAGACGACAACCTGAAGAGGAATCTGCTGTTGATCAAGGACGTTCTACAACGCTTTAAGCTGTGATTTGTTTCACATTGGAACTAAAATCTGCAATAAGATCACCTGGAGCTTTGATGGCAACCAGCTAATTTTTTAGTTCAGTTTAGTTCAACTAGGCAGACAGTGTATACGACGACAACCGAATAGGATCAGCCTTTCGTTTGTTGCGTAGATGTTGTAGCTTCCTCACTCATTAGACACATAGCTTTTAGTGATGTGACTGTTTTTGTTTAACTCGTGTCTCTGGATGCATTTGAGGGGTTGGCCCTAGACAAGGGCATTAGAGTAGCAGCCCTGGCCTCCCTTGGACAAAACCGCTTCACGCATCATGTGGATGTGATCTTTACTATCTCTTGCGTCCGTAAATTACTGCAGCTAGGTCCAAGTAGAATCAACCCTTACACCCTCTCAAGCTTCAACCCTTGAGGTTGTAACTTTGTGTTATGGCATGGCAAGTGGTTGAAATGATCCAATTTTTGCATCAAAACGTGTGGTCTAAGTACTGTAGAATCAAATGTTTTTAGGGTAGAGACACCCAAGAATGTCGTAATTGGAGTGTTTTAGGTGATGTTGCCGAAGTGCACAATAGTAAAGTGTTCCTAGATTCAGAATTGTTGTCGAAGCGTTACTTGTTAAGACATACTCATTTTCAGTGTCATTTTTCTTCCAGAAGGTAGCTCTTCAATTTATTGAATATCAGGTAGGAAAAGTAGATGTTTCTGGAGCTGTGGATCAATTCTGGGCTGGTTTTCTTCACCTACTTAGTTGGTTATTGTTGCCCTTGTTAGTTTTAAATGCTGTGCTCTGCTGAGAGAGAGGTACATCAAGGTGTCACCACTCTTCTAGAAGGGTGTGCCTGAGTATCTATCAGCAAACTTGCTGTAACAAGATGGCCCACTCTCGAAGCTCAGGATCTGAGTTGATCAGAATAAAAGTTCCGTGTTTGCATCTCCGAATTCACTTCACCTTGCGTCGTCACTGATAACAACATATGAGAGTATAAGGGAGACTTCTGAGAGTCCCTTGAAGAGTAGCAAGAAATCCCTTACTCTCCTTAAAATTAGCAGCATCAGATTGACCTCAAACATCTACCAACCACGTCCTATAGCTACAGAGGTGGTGCCAGTAGAAAAAAGAGCTAAAAAGATTTGGGTATGTTGCATAGAAATTTGGGTAAGTTTGCATGGTCAGCTTATCGAAATCTACCACCTGAAAACGTCTTCATTATCTTAGCTTCAAAATAAGACGATGATCTTTTACAAAACTCACAGGTTGTTAAGGTGAGAAACTTGATTAATGGATTGTCTCTTTAAAATAAAGAAAGAAGAAAAGAAAGGACTAGCAATAGTTAAAACGTTGTGAGAAAACAGAGGTTGGGCTGCGCGAGGAATCCAGACGTTTGACCTCAAACCGGAATCATATTGGTGGCTCCTTTTACTGCAGAAAGAGGAACAATTGTCAAGTTCTCAACTTTTCTTCGACTTTATTGTTTTTAATTTTGCATGAGTGTCCAAATTTTTTAACCTCACTAATCCGTGAATAGATCAAACGATAATCACTTTTGCTATGGATATTCAAAAGCAATGCTGTGTCCTCTTCGAAAGGGAAATTTACAGGACCTCCATCTAGCTTCTTACTGATCATCGAACTTATCCCTTGGTACCTGCTGTCTCGTTCCATCACTATTGCCAACAAGCTTGTGCAAAACCATTTTTGTGAGAAGCCACTGGTCCAAATCTGTGAGCCAATTCATTTCCTCTTCCCTCAGCCTGATGGCTCTTTAAGGCGAGATTTGTTTGTTGCTTCCATGAAGTATAGTCCGATCATCCTATTTGCTCTTGCGACCACAGAACCACAGAAATTCACACCGAACATGACAAGCGACGAAACTAGATCCTTTCATACACAGCAGACAAAGGTTGGCTATCCAAGTGACTTCGATCCCATCCAGGATGGCATCCATGTGCAAAAGAATTACAAGGGTAGAACTTGGCATTTCCAAGGGCACGGCAAGAGAATCCACATTTCAGATGAAGGTTTGATTTTACATGCCTTCCCAAGCATTTTACTAAGCTTGTTCCTAGCAGCGAATATTGAGATAGCATGTACTTAGGGATGAGCTTGTCCTCCAAGTCTCAAATTTTCTTGTGAGCGCAGTCATTTGTAAGGATAATATTCTAGAAAGTCTCTCATCCTTGGGAAGAGCAAGGAGTACATCCAGCTTTCCATCAAATATTGTACCATCTCCGGACTCGCCGTGTCGAGAACCGTCTGCATACCTCATTTACATGCAAATTCAGTTTTGTAAATCCGTAGCTGTAAGTAAAGTTGAGCTGCTTAGTAGACGATAGGTATAACATTCCTGAATTCAATGTGTTGTCAAATCTCTGTTTGAGGCATCGAGAAGACATATGATAAGTCCATCCAAGCAGCCACGAAGCATTTTCCCACTAGCATCTCCTGTGGTTCGGCAAGGATGCCTCACTGACTGAAAGATGCAGAATGCACATTCTAAGCTGCAGTCTTATGGTTGAACCGGAAAAAAAAAAAAAAAAAAAAAAAAAAAAAATCTTGTCACCAATCAGTAGAGACACAACAAAGACTTGTAACAAAGAACAAAAAATTGTACAAATTCTAATCTTCAGAGCATGAAGAAGCAGAGGAGGTGGGTAATAGCGGCGTACAAGTTACAAAGCGTACCACAACCATGGTCAGTCACTAGTTTGAGGTGTTGGCGTTCAACTATGGTATCACGGTCTGATAACTGGGTGCCGTCAAACTAACTAATAAGCACATATGTACTCAAATAATCAACAACAACGAACCGCATCCTCTGTATCCAACCAACTAAACGTTTTGTCCATGTGGTTTTAATTCTGTTACTCCCATCAAAGGTAGCTTAAGTGCCTGTGAACACTCAAGCCAAACTTCACAAGACAACAAGCAGTGCTAGATTTTCCACCTATCTCTGCACCGACTAGCAAACTCTTTGCATCAGTGATCACATTTGAATCACAACCTGTATGGATATTAATGACTATTATGTCACCTCACTGAAGGTCATACACAACATTAATCCCTATGTTATCTACACTAACACCTGAGAGAAAAAGGAAGGAGGACCAAAAAAATATTGAGAATATTAATAATCTGTTGCAAGTTAGATTGGTTAATGGAGTAAATCTTTACAGAGTTAGATTGTTCATGGTCAAAAAGTTTTGGAAGAGTTAGGATGGTGGCTTGGTTGTGATGGTGGCTAGGATTTTTTCCTACATAGTTTAGCAGTGGCTATAGCATCTGTGTGATTGGAATAAAATGGTATTATTAACAAAAATGAGGTTTGAACTAAGGGCTGATGAACGTGCCTAAGATGGTTTATATTGAAACATGAATCAAAACACAAAAAGTTCAATTTTTCTTCATTATAGGCATCTTCTTGGAAGTGAAAAGGTAAATTATAATTTGGGTAAAATTAAGAATGCTTAATTAATTAACTAATATTGTATAATTTTAAAAAAAAATCGTTCTTGATTAATACAGACATGTCAAAAACACTATATATATATATATATATATATATATATATATATAGTATTTTTTTAAAGATATATTAATAAAAATAATAATTTAAAATATTTATTTGTAAAATTTAAATGTTTTATATTCAAAATAGAAGAATTTAACAACATGGAGTTTTATGTCAATATGATCAAAACACTTGTAAAGTAACTTATTGTTATGGATTTTTTTAAAAAAATATTAATGATATAATAGTGATAATGTTGGAGAGTTTGTTTAATCAAATAAAATTTGATTAATTTACTAAAATAAATACCTAAAAAATACTCAAAATTATATAAATATATATATATATATATATATATATATATATACATACATATTTATGATAATTAAAATTAAAAGAAAGTTGACTAAAATAATAATTTAAAACTAATAATACATCAAGAAAAAAATATTAATATATATTCTATTATATAAAAATAAGAATGTTAAAAAATTATTTTGAAGATATCCAAATTAATATTATGAATAGATAAATCCATATCATTGTGTAGGAATGTGTGACTTAAATGAAGAATTTTTTGAGCCAAAGAATCTTTTTCAAATACAAATACAATACAATACAAATAAAATAAAATAAAATACACAATGGAACTTTCAACTATAAAGTAGGATAGATAAATCCATGCCATTATCATGGATAATATGCAAAAAAAAAGGTAGTTAATTTTATTCAAGGAATTATTTTTGAAAATATAAAAAATATTAAATTACATTAAAAAATCATAAAAGAATTTAAAGACATTCAAAAATTTACTAAAATTAATTAATTAAAATATAAAATATAAAATAATAATATCTATCTAATTAAATTTTTTGAAAAAATAATATACAATGTAGAATTTAAATTTTTATTTCTAAAAAGAAGAATCTTGATAGGATAGGAGGAAGTACATCAAGAGAGTGCTATATAAAGTTCACCATGGAAAAAAATAGATTATTACAAATCCAAACCAACATGCTTTATTGATTCTCCTTGGAATCTATTTATTCTTATTGCAAATGCAAGACAGATTGGAAGTTGCTTTCTCTTTAGAATGAATAAAAGTTCTTTTGTTTTAGAAGGTAATGTAATCTATAGAATGAATACTAAGTTTTCAGAAAAAAAAATTCTAAGAATTCTTGCTTCAAGAACTTGATCTATTAATCATACATTTATCAATTAGATTTGATTGCAAAGTCCTTAGTAAGGAGCAATATTTCTTAATAGCATGACGAGAATCTCAATCTTAAAGGCAAAGCGTTGATTTGAGCATTTGAGATGGGTTTAAAAAATTGATGAATTTGACTAGATAAACATTATTATTGTCGATACCATCTTCAAAAACAACTTCATCAATACTTAGATATTCTTATTCTTCTCTAAAAAATATGGCTATAGTCTTTTCATTAATATCCTTTACATTATCATTCTATGCAAATAAAATGATTCTAATTCTAAAGAAGGCATCATTTGCTACACCTTCTTATACCAACCTCAGATAAATAATATCAATTAAGGAAATTAATTGTTGATTAAAAATCATGTAATTAGAAAGTACAACTACATTATTAGGCAATAAGTTTGTATTATTTCCAATCTAAAAAGTGGAAAATAAAAATATTCATTAATAATAATATAATAATAAAGAATTAAAATGCACCACCATCTACATATATAATGTGTATATGCATTCTATACCTAAAGAAGCCAATTAATAAGCTCAATATTTGCTTGAAGTGCTCTTAAATTCAACTTCATATTTTCTTTTAATGTATAGATTTTTATTTGATGCCAAAGTGTTGAACATCAAAAAGATGTTGCTACAATTTCTTCTAGAGTTCCTTTCATAATCACTAACAATATTTGGCAAAAAGCTCCACCAAAAACTATAATAGCTCCACCAAATCAGCGATCACTGTTTCAAATATCTCTAAAAGAATAATTAACTATCTCAGGATAATAATGATATTGCATTGGAAGTTCATTTCAAAAAATAAGTAAAGCTTGGCAAATAAACTCAGTATGGTCAGAATTTTTAATAATTGAACAAAAAAATCTTTGTTAGAATCTAGTAGAATCTTGAATGTAGAATG